TGCCGCAAGTGAGTGCAGTGAGAAAGGAAAAACGGATTAGGGTTTCTATTTAAGAGGCTTATATATGAAGGGGAAATGGGCTAGGTAATTGGGCGTATTAAAATTTCGGTTTTCGGTTTATTGAAGGCCAAAATCGAAACGATTCGCAATCTATATTTTTTGAAAAATCTCAAACCGATCCAAACCTATTCAAACCAAATTATTTTCGGTTCGGTTTGCAGATTTAATCAGTATTACTTCAATCCTTATAGCCGCCATATAAGGATGGGGATAGATGTTGGACCAATAGTGGGGATGAGAATATCAATCAAGAATGGGGATGGGAATGGTAAAATCTGTCCTCTTCCCCCCCCCCCCACATGCCTACTAGACTCAACTAACAAACATTAGACGACCAAGCTTCAAACTTCAATTCTCTTCCCCCTTTTGGCATTATTATAAAGCATTCAAAAATAGGGTCATGTGCCAACATATCACAAATAATCAAGAAAAGGTAGCATCAAATACTAGTTAATTATCATGCTACAGAAATTAAGTTAGGCCCAACTCACAATCCAACAACGAAACAACTTAAAATAGTGTTCAGATAACACACCAACAGAATTAAAGCAAGAACCAAGTTACAAATAAAGATTGTTCAGTTACTACTTTGCGCTGGAGAATACAATACGAAAGGTTTAGGCAATCAAACCAGGCGCGAGGTCAATGATTTAGCTCAAGAAGGGAATAATCGCCTTTATGTAATTTGGGGAAAATAGATAAATATAAGTAGTTATAAGAAAGGAGGCATATTCAACCATCTCTACCTCAAATTCGGACCCTTCATCTTTCTTCTTCTTCTTCTTCTTCTTCTTCTTCTTCTTCTTCTTCTTCTTCTTCATTCTGCTCTAAGCTAATTTCAAATGCAGCTATCTCCTCTTCAGTTGGGTACATCACCCCTAAGAACCAAACCATAATCAATTCCAACTGTTGCAGGATCAAGAGCAACAGTAGTATTAGGAGACTAAGGAAACACCACAAAGTGTGAGGACTAAGGTAGAAGTTTATGCAATCTTCTTGTTTCAGAATTCCTAGGCAACAATCGATTAGCATTTTTTCAACCTCGTATTTTTGGTTTTACGATTATAATGCAGAAAAAAAAAATTCATAAAATTGACGAAAGTAGCATAATCAAAGGAAAAAAAATGAATTTTGAATGAATTGAATATGAGAGAGGGAAATAAATTTGAAAAAAGAAGTTGAGAATGAAGTGGAGAAAGTTAGGCGGATTTTAATATAATGAAGTTACGAATGAAATGAAGTGGGCTCAACCGTTGCGGGCCTGGCTCAATAAATGAGTGTCTCACAAATTATTGGGTGAGGCTTGTCTCACCCAATACTTTGTGATTATTTTGTGCAAGTTGGATATGCAAACTAGAATACTCATAATTGTATGGAAAATTTGACTTTTACTACCACCAAAATAAACCACTTTGATTTTTGCTATCCATCTAAATTTTATTTTATTTTGCTTCTACTAAAAACCAAAAACTATAGCTTTTGCTACATTTCAACGGTTTCCGTCCCTGTTGCCGTTATTGGGCCTGCCTAATTAACTACTAGCTTTTTTCTCTTCTCTCTCCACGAAAACGGACTCGGACACGGACACGGACACGGGAAAACGGCAATCCTGAAATAGGGGACACGGGTACGGCGTATAACAAGTCATATAATATATTAAAAAAACGAGAATTTGACAACTAATTCAATAAAACACTAAATAATTAGCCTCAAAACACACAATTTTAATTAAACAAGTAAATGAACTAAGTGTACGGACATAGTCTCATACATATCAAGAAACCATCAAACCAAATACACTAGTTTATATCAATGAAGATAGTCATGATTAACCATAACAAGTCCAACAAAACACATTATTCACATCACAGCAAAATTAGCAACAACAAGAACCACAAAAACTGAATTTTCTACTTATAGAACCACTAATCAAAACTAAAATTAGAAACTTCTCTCAAAGCATCAAAGTTTTCTTATATAATAAAACCAGATCAAAGAAGCTTAATAACACAATTATAAAGCCTCGTCATTCACGTTGGTAATACACTCTTTAATCAACCAAATATGAAGGAGATAAATGCTATCAAAGCTCCAAGTATAAAAGCAAACATAATTACACAAATCCCAGAACAATAGGAATCAAGACACAGTGAACATTGCATCTTCAAAACCCCAGGATCCACATGCTACATTTAATAAACACAAATGAAAAAAATAATCCAGAAGCAATATTCCACTGATCTCAAAGAAGATACATTTAAATAAAATTAATTAAATTAAAAAATCTAACTTTTCACAAATTTAGAAAGAAGTGTATGAGGTATTCTTGTGCACATGCTCACCAAACCCAGATTCCAAAAACTCAATTATTATTATTATACTATAAAATCCCTTACAAAATTTCTTCAATTTCAACCAAAATTTCTTTGATACCCACAAATTTCGTCCGAGACATCCAATTACCCTTCAGCTTCAACTTCTAAATTTCTAATTACATGATTCATGAAACTGAAATGCAGAAAATTAATTGAATTTTTAAAAAAAAAAACGTTGAGAACCATACCTGGGAGTCTGGGACAGCAAGTCAGCAACGACAATGAGAACGGTGGAGTGGTGGGTGGTGGCTGAGGACGAACAGCGGCAATTGAATGAGGCAGAGGCAGCGACGACAGTGACTGAGTGACACCAAGCGTGGAGCAACGACGACAGTGGAGCAACGACGACAGCTGACTGTGTTGATGCGAACGGTGGAGTGGTGGGTGGTGGGTGGAGCAACGACGACAGTGACTGAGTGATGACAATGGTGATGACTGATTTCGCGTGAGGCAGAGAGGAAGATGAGAAATTGAGAAGTGGAAATAGGCAGGGAGGCAGAGAGGCAAAGCAGAGAGCAAGACTTTAGGTTATTTCCCGTGTCATACCAAAACGGCCCGTGTCTAAGGGTGACACGGCCCGTGTCCAAAAATAAAAAACGTCAAAAATAAACCGGACACGGTTTTTGGAGTGTCCGAGACGTTTTGCCCCGTGTCCCACGCGTGTCCGTGTCCGACACGCGTGTCGACTCGGACACGCCTGAACTTACGAGTGTCCGTGCTTCGTTGCATTTCAACGGTTTCCGTCCCTGTTGCCGTTATTGGGCCTGCCTAATTAACTACTAGCTTTTTGCTCTTCTCTCTCCACGAATCTACCTCTCTATCCAACTAATTACTCTCATCCTCTCTCTATCTGCTCTCCTATTGAATACCTCAACCCCCCAAATCAACTCCATTAAAGCCCTTTTTTACCACAAATCTCTCTATCTCTCTCATCTATCAGCGTCTTCATCTATTTCCTTTTCTAAATTTTTCTACAAATTCAGGTGTTAATTTGTGTGTGTGGAAGCTTTTGAGTGGTATAGCGAACCAATGGAAGTCCAAGTATCCAACAACTGTGAGGAAGCGTCACGCCAATTGTTGACTGTGGAAGATTCGTCTTAATAATTGAACCAAATTAAACAATAATTATACCCTGCAATTGAACCAAATTAAACAACAATTACATTCTAAACAAGGTCAATTAGCAACCTACACCCTCAATTTGAAGAATCAAAATCCCAACAACAAAGCCCTAAATTTTTTTACTATACTTAACTACCAATTACTTCAATTGAAACTCGAAATTGAGACTTTGTATCACTCCTAAACACTGAATATACAAGATACCAACCATAATTTAAAAGCTAATTGCATTTTAACTTGCTAATTCAACCAAAAAAATCAAAATTCTGACCATTTTATGTGGTAAATTCCTTCCCAATCGATAGGCTTCTATGCCAACAAGCTTCCTTACCCAAGTTGTAGTGGATTGTATCTGGGAAATCTTGCTACAAATTTAATTTTACGGTTCAAAGGATTGGATTTGGGAAATTTTATCAATTTAAGGAGCAAATTTTAGGAGCAATTTTGTTGAAGACAGGTATTTAAAGAGGTAATAACAAAAGAGTCTTTGCAATGGACCCTACTAACGAAAACGATAAGGTAGCAAAAGCTATAATTTTTTATTTTTAGTGGTAGTAAAATAAAATAAAATTTTGAACGGTAGTAAAAGTTAAAATTTCTTAATTTTATACGTTCACAAATCTGAATTATTTGATGCATGTGGTTGTTGGGGTTTCCATCATAATTTAATTTGCATATTAATTATTTTGGTTCTTTTTGGTCTACCTATCCGAGGTTGTATACTTAAGCGGCTATTATTTTGGAGTCAATGGATGTGTACTCTAAACATTCATAATCTCAAATTTTGTGAGCAATTAGATTCTTACATGAACAATTAGCTTTTATTTCTATCTAGATTGTTCATATTAGAGGTGAATTATATGTTGTAAATGGCTTGGTTACGTAAAGCTAATTAGTTTGTCTTTGTAAGTACGATAACCGACTTATATACTTAATTGACGCGTTTAATTTAGACACACATATTAAGGAGAGGAGAGAAAATGGTAAAGCAAGTTGGGTACACTACTAAATGCAAGGTATAAAACTTACCTGAAAAGGTAGCATGTTAACTAAGAATAAACTTGCTAAAAAAAAGAAAACGTATCAACTAAAAAAACGAAGGTAAGTATCTAATTATATTAACTAATCATGCACTTTATTCCGCAAATGCTTCATATATCTCCAATAACTATCACCATTCTCATCACATTCTTAAATTGCAAGAATAAACTAAGTTGTTACAGCGAATCCAAAGTAATGTTCTATGAATGATATACCAAAATGCCAAACTAATTTACGCATCACTATATTTTAGGGGTAACGCGCGCCGACCAACAACTAGTATTTTTTGTAAAAAATAAAAAAAAAATAAAAAAAAAAATAAAAAAACTGTTAAGAGAATTGGTTGTTGGTTGTTGCTATAACAGAGAATTCAAACCCTTAAAAAAAAAAAAGGCCAGAGAATTAAAAAGCACACATCAATCATTACATTTGACTTTTTTCCATCAACCTGTATATACTCCAGTTAAAATCCATTTCTTAATTGCAAAATTCATCAAAAAATTGGAATCGCATCTGCTGATTACACTAAAAGCCATGATTTGAGAGCATGCTCCGCTATACAACCTCTTTTTTAACATAATTTAACCATAAATTACTAGAGATTAAAGAGTTTACCAAGAGGGGAGAAAGTCGATAAGAACAAAACTAGAACAAAACTTATCCTCGAATCCCCAGAGAATGCAATTATATCTTTAGAGCTTCTCTCAATCCGAAGTTAAAGTTGCTCTCTTGGCCTTTCTTGCCTGGAGCTCCTTTCGGATTGCCACTTTGCATCATTGCAACAAATTCATTGTAGTCGATACGTCCATCCTGCAAGTTGAATTGATACAATATTTCCTGTTAGTCATGCTCGACCACTTTTCTGTGTATGGAGTCTTTGCTGATATATGGACATCACTTATACAGACATATACATAATTCGGACTTTCAATGTGAAAACACTCATGAGTAATGACATGAATGTCCAGTTTAGAAGTCAACATAGTATTAGGCTAGACAGCCCAACTACAGAGGTAGTAGAGTCACATGATGTTTCAATCACTAATTTGTAACTGCTATCTTACTTGTTTGGGGTAAATTTAGGTCAAGGTTGATACAGGGTAGCCTTAATCCTTGACACAACACTAAAGAAAATTTTGGTCCGAGAGAATTCACAGAATACGACATTTGACTAACATCAGGATTCAGAGAGGTGCTAGGTTTCAAAAAAAGCATCGAAATATTAGCACTTTTAAAAATGGTATATCATATCAAGGCTCATAAGTTAAACTACACATCCAGAAGTCAGGGTCATATCATGTTAAACCTAAAACATCTTCAAAGGGTTGGACCTTCAATTATCTTCTACTTCTTGTCGTATCACTTTTAATGAACAAAGGCCCAGACCTAAGGGTATGCTCCAATTTCCAACACAAAGTGAAGGATTCAAAGCCTGTCAGTTTATTGGATCACTCACCTCTCCCCCACCCTACCATCACAAGGTGGGACGGAAAAATGAAAAAACGAATGTTAACTTGCGCTTTCCGTTCCCCTTTATTTGTTTTTACAACTGCTATATAATTTTAATATATGCCCTAATGCCCATATATATGAGTTATATTATGCATTGACCTATTTAAGCTTAAAATTGTAGCATCAAGTGACTTATAATACTATGATGCTTGACTTTTCAGGTTTCTATATAGACATTGAAATTGTTACAATACAAATTACTTACATTGTCTTGATCAGCTTCTCTAATCATTTCTTCCAACCGTGCATCTTCCATACCAAACTCCTCACAGGCCTGCTGGAGCTCATCTGCAGTGATATAACCACTTCCATCCTTATCAAAGTAATTAAACGCTGCAAATAGATTATCATGTTTTTCAATTTTGTTAAGATGTAATGTTGCGGCTATGAATTCTCCATAATCAATTGTTCCACTGTTATCAACATCAGCCTGCAATATAAGATTAAAAAAAAAAAAAAAAAAAAAAAGAGTAACAAAAAAGGCATTAGAAACAGAAGTTGATGTTGTATATTTATACTGCATAGTACTTATATTATACAAGGCACATATTTCCAAATATATTAATAAAATACAAATGAATGGTGGATTGCTGGAATTCATGTTTAGTGGCTTGTCCTTCTTAAATACAGAATGCACACAATCCAAAAAGCATTGTTCCCCAACAAAGGTGCACACTACACCGAAGAAATGGCGTTCACCTCAAAGTAAAAGTGACACATAAACCTTAGGAATCTTAACTTGCCACTAAGAATACACTTATAGCGCATGCTATAACACAATTTATAATACAACAAAGCTCTTTAGGGTGGTTCTCAAGCAGAAAAATAACCTGTACCAAGTTTATTAGTAAGTCTATGCAACACAAATTGCTGCTTGTGGGTTGTGAACCAGAAGCAACAGTCTCAACATATGCTGGAAGACTACTTAGATAATAACTGGATGCAGCCACATCAAGACAAACAAATAAAGAATATGAGGGCCAGGATTATTGATTTCACCAATGGTTGAATAAATGAAACCTCATTGGCTTCTATCATCCTTCATCAAGCTAAGATGTTCATATTTTTCAAGTTATTACTTACAGCTTGCATAAGATCATAAATTTCAGACTCCATAAGGTTTGCACCAGCCTTCTCAAGTCCGACCTTGAGTTCTTCGTAAGTGATTTGGCCACTATTATCTGTGTCTATCATTTTGAACATCTCTTTGAGGCCTGCGATTTCTTCTTCAGATAGGCAATCTGCAATCACCTGAATTATACGACACAATTTGTTTATCATTTAAGCATCAAACAAAAATCAAATGAGCTGTATACTTAGCTTTACAAAAATAATTGCTTTCACTTCCAATATTTTTCATCTTAATAGAAATTTAATTTCCCAGATTAAGAAACTTACTCTAAGAGCCATTTTCTTGAGTTTATTCATGGCCCTGAACTGCTTCAAACGACTCAAAACAGCAGAATCAAGAGGTTTGTCAGGTGCCACACCATCAACCTGCACCCAAGGGTGGCCTGAAAGGAATTCGTGTCATACATAAGCAAGAATAGTAAAGAAATAAAAAGTCAACATCTTAAGAAAGTGGTTGGACAGTAGATGAAATGAGGAACCGATAACCAGAGATCATACTAAGAAGTAAGAACCCCATTCATAAAATTTGTGATAGTGGTTATTCTTTATTATCATAAATTAAAGAAAACAAAATTTGGAGGACAATCAACCTATGTTATGTGGAGTAAGGTATGGGTATCAAATATAGGTATGTGTGTGCATTCTGCAATCTCTGCAAGTCAAGCTAAGAATGCGACTTCAAAATCGTTCATAATATCATTTGTGAATTTCTTTGCTTGCATCCTTTTGCTACATATATACAAAAATAAAGCTCAAAGTCTGAAACTCATAATTGAGAGACATATCCTTCCAAACCTTCACACATTATGAGTTACTTTAATGTAAGAAAAGGAGAGGGATAAAGGGAGAGAGTTACACACACACATCTTGCAATGTGTACATGCATACAACAAGGTTCTTATATAAGTTATAAGCTGCTAGTTCTTGTAAAATGTTTGACCCTTTGAGGCATACAACATACATTATGGGCCATATTTTTGTAGTCATCTTTTCATTCCCCCTCAGGCCCTCATCATAAATGAGTAGCCATGTCTAAGATCGATCACTTAACACAAATTTGTACTCCCATCCAAAATTTTGTCATGGCACCTTGACATAGGTATGCAATTGGAATCGACATGGGCTAGGAGTCAGTCAAGTCAGACACCCAAAGATAACCTGCATAGATAATGTATAACAAAGAAGCTCTATGTCTCTTGTGCACCATGCTATGGGCATGGCAGCATGCAGCCTTCGAGTATCTTTTGGACCAAAAAATCCATGTTAGAACTACAGTAATACAGGGCGTAGATTGTCAAACCCATTAATACAGGTGGAGCAGGACCAATGTATAGCTTAAAGATCCTAGGTTATAGTTAGAATATAAAACCAATTTCTCTAGCGTATAATCCTTCATGTCTGGTCTAGCCAACATTGACAATACAAATCAGGGTATTTAAACTAGTCTACAAATTGATAATAAAACCAAACATTTGTAACAACTCACATAGAACCTCATGCGCAGTCAGTCGCTTTTTAGGATCACGAACAAGCATTCCTCTGACCAGATCTTTTGCTTCATCTGAGATACTAGGCCAAGGATCTGAGGTGAAGTCAAGATCTCCATGCAGAACTTGTTCAAATATCCCTTGCTCGGTTTCTGCACATTTAGTTCCTCAATAGTTAAGTAAAGTTTGGAGTTTGGACTAAAAAAAAGCTTGAGAACAGAACAAAATTGAGATTCTCACCTCCCCAGAAAGGAGGTACTCCACTAAGTAGGATGTAGATTATGACTCCAGCACTCCAAACATCTGCTTCTTGACCATAACGTTTCCGTAGTACTTCTGGTGCAACATAGTACGGGCTCCCAACCACATCAGTAAACTTATCACCTGGACAAATTCATGAGAATCGTGAAAACTTGTCAAAAAGATTCAGAGTGCTAGGAAACAACAAGCAAGATACTTATCAAGAACAAAAAGGAAAATGAGAGGCGTTTAGACTTGACCAAAGATTAAGGGTATGTTTGACCAATATTATCTTATTTTGTCTTATTTCAAGCAAAATAAGTTATGCAGCATGATATCAAGCATGGAATAGAAAGATGACAGCTGAAATATTCACTGGAAAAAAGTAGTTTAAGATAAAAGGTTACCTTTCTAAACAGGTACAGCTATATAATAACAAGTTTGATGCCAAAAGATACAAAAGTGAAATACAAGAATATACCTGGCTTGAAAAATATTGATAGTCCAAAATCAATTGTTTTAAGGGGTGAATCCTCATCCTGACTTACAAAAAGAAAGTTTTCTGGTTTCAGATCACGATGCATAACTCCCAAAGAGTGGCAAGTTTCCACAACACCAACTATAACCCGCGTAAGGTCAGCTGCCTGTCGTTCTGTATAATGCCCACGCTGAATGATCCTATCAAAAAGTTCACCTCCTTTGCAGAGTTCCATCACAAGATGAACTGCAACAGCATCCTCATAAGCCCCTTTAATTGCAATAACATTAGGGTGCCCAGCAAGATGATGCATTATCTGAATTTCCCTCCTCACATCCTCCACATCCTCATCAGTCAGCAGCTTCCTTTTTGCTATCGATTTACAGGCAAACTCCTCTCCACTAGCCTTCTCTATACACATAAAAGTAGTTCCAAATTGCCCTTGTCCTAATTTCCTGCCCAAACTGTAAAATTCCTTAATATTCCCTGTTTTCTTTAGCAATACAGACTCCACTCGGAGTCCTGCACTGGGTGCTCTTTTAAACTGAGGGGGTTTCTTAGGTTTAGCTTGCTCTACTGGTTCAGCTTCTGCTTTTGGTATCACCATTGGTTCAACTTCTGGTTTCGATACCAGGGTTTGCTCGGTTTCTGGCTTTGGCATTGTGATCTGCCTAGGGGGTTCACTTTGGGTTGGCAAAGGCGGTTCGCCTGCATTCGGGGCAAGAGATGGGGATGTAGGGTCATGCTGGCTTCCTCCATTGGAAACAGAAGCTGTATCATCCGGTGACCGGCTTCGCCACACTACAGCTGAAACTGTTTGCAGAAACCCATCCCTAGAAATAGAAGGTCTAACACAAGTATTACCCATCTATTTCTCCCCAAATTAACTTCTTTTTATTACACCCTCTATCTTTAACATCAAGATCCAATGCTACCAAACTTCTAATCTCATAAATTACGATCTAATTTCAAGATCACAAATTCAATCAACCCCACAAAGTCAAACCCTTAAAATCCAACTCAAATCAACAACTAAACTTAATTGATCTAAAATCAACAAAATAATGACACCCAACTAAATGTAAATTACAGGAGCTTCAATTTGCTTAAACAAAACAATGGCTCAAACCCCATATACAAAAATAGCACAAAAAACTATAAAGATCAAAACTTTAATTCAATTTATACCACCAAAAATAGGAATTTAAGTCAAGCACGCTCAAACCTTACAAACTGAAACTCCTCTGCTAAGTGCTTATTAAACAAATACCCAGAAAATGTCATATATCAAAGACAAGATCAAGTAAAAATAAGCAAGTAGTTTTACCAAATAACACTCTTGAAGATCAAATCAACCAATGCAGTCAAAGTGGTAGAAAAGACCCAGTTCAGAAATGCAATAAATAAACTCCTCTAAATGGGTAATTGGGTATGAAAAAACGGGTAAATGGGTATGAAAAAATGGAAGAAAAGCATTGAAATTTGCTAAAAAATTGAATTGAGGGAAATGAGGTTGAGTTGTGGTGGACAATGTTTACCAAGTCAAGAAGTTTTTCGATTTATATATGGCGAGATTTTGGGGGGATTTGTCTGCTGTGGGGTCGAATTTGGAGCTTTTTAATATTTGTTCTGGCACTACTTTTACGCGTATTTAGATTTGGATAGACAATTTATGTATTGTGAGAAAAGTTTGGCTTTTTTTTTAATTTTCTTTTTACAATTTTATCTGCTTTTTTTAAAAAAATTAAAACGATAGGAAAAAGGTTTTAATTTAATTTGCCGTCCTAAATTGATTTTTTTTTTATTTATTAATTTTTTTTTCACGAACTAAATTGATTGAATTTAACAATACTACTCCGTATAGGGTTGTACAGAGTGCGGTTTAGACTGCACTAAACCACAATTTTACAGTTTGGTGCGATTTGCAGGAAAATTGCAGTGTGGTTTTTGAAAGTGACCAAACCACAATTTTGCGGTTTTTGGTGCAGTTTTCAAAAAATTTTAGACCAAACCGCACTTTGATGCGGTTGGCGGTTTTTATACTATATTTTCTTTCAAAAATATAAAAGAACTAAAAAATATGAGCTAATCTTTGACTATTAGCTAATTAAAGGTTAAAAAAGTGTTTAATATTTGAATTATAAATTAATAATTACATAATAAAATAAAACTTTTGTTTTCAAAAAAAAATTATAATTTTTACAAAAATACGGCTAAACCGCAAATCGCACCGCACTAAACCACATTTTGCGGTGCGATTTAGTTAGAAGTGTTGTTTGGTGTGATTTGAAAGAAATACAAATCGCAATTTTTCGGTTTGAACACCCCTAACTCCGTAGTAGTAGAGAAAATACAAACTTTTGGTTGTATATGTTATGTGTTGGAGTTTTAGTAGAGAACTCTAAATAAGTTGTGCTTTAAAAGAGTTAATCTCTCTTTTGTTAAAATATTTTTCAAGTCTTTCTAAATTAAGGCAATTCCTTGATTTAGGTTCAATTAGTCAAATTGCATTGGTCTTAATTGGAGGATTTAAATGCTAGCCATATTTATCTAATTGGTGATTGGTGACTAGATTCGTTGTATCTGGTTTACTCTCACAACTATATAAATCGTCCTCCTCCATCTTGAAACACGAAAAAAAATAGAGACAATTATTTTCTCAAAAAATGATTATTCACTACTACTATTCTCTTGAGCTTTGCTCGAAGGTGCTCACAATCTAACTCTTTGTCGTACACTAAAGAGTTGAGTCCGTGTGTACAGTACAGGGCAAATTCGACTTTAGAGCAGTGATGCTATGTCACGATACGACATTAAATCAGATAATTTTGTTATAATTTCCAACATTATGTGAATAATAATGGCAAGAATCAGTTGGATAAATTTTATCTTAGAAGGAATGAAGCAGTTTTTCTAGGATATTTTCCACATAGCAAAGTGTGGGCGCCAATTGAAGCGCGCCTATTTAAGCATGTGAGAATATGTTTGGCCATCACAGGAAGTAGGAATTGACATATAACGATAGGGACAAAAAAAAAGTAGAGAGCCGTCAACAAGTTTTTAAGAAACTTGTAAACCGTTCACGGATAATTTAAGGTAACCACGAATAAGGGAAAATGATAGGCAACAACAATTGACTCATAAAGGTTACACCCCATTCATAATCCATGAGATTACTAACTCTATATGGTTCGAAACCATAAAAGGAGGATCAGGGATGATGGTACAAAGTGAGTCATGAAAGTCAACTTCACTCGTATTGGCCTCTACTCGATTCTTATAGCAAAAAATATTTCCTGCGATCTCAAAGGCATACAAACAAAGATTCAATTTTCTCCAAACTAGATTAGACTAAATTGGTTGAATATTAAAGCACACATAATTCTAAAAATTAGTGACCACTTGATTAAAAAAACAAGATTTAAAAGGAACCTAAACCGGTCGTCCAAATTACCTTATTAGTCGTGATTTGCAATTACATCTTCCCCTTTAAACATGCATTATGGTGATCAATCAATATAATAGAATAAACATTAATATTATAAGCAATTTAACCATAATAAATCCAACAATCAATATATGAAAAACATAATAAAAATTGTTAGAAATATAATAAGAATAAAAGAAACAGGGTTCTTACTTTGCTTACTTTTGCTTACAACTATAAAACAATAAACACGTTTAGTAACTTCAAGAAAAACAATAATAGAATTAAATTAAAGTAGAGTTGATTTGGGGTCAAACCCCCAAACATGGCTACCTTTCACGCCTTGGCTTAAGTACGGAACTTCGGGTAAAGTACGGACTTCGAGGAGTGCTTAAGGGATGAATTGTGTAGTTGGGAAGGCAAGTGTATAAGGTTAGAGTATAAGAGAGAAGGAGTATGTCAATTTGTGCCCCGAGACTGTAAATGAGCCTCATATTTATAGAGGGGAAATGAGGAATGAGATCCGGAACCCTAGAAATGAGGCGTCGTGGTAAGGAAAAGCACCACGTCATGGCACTAAGTGTCGTGGCACGATATCAGGTACCGTGGCACAGTACTCGTGACGTGGCGCAATGGTAAATTTTATCATTTTTGAAGAAGAAAACACATGAAAAAGATAAAATCGGGCGAAAACGGTGTCGTGGCACGACAATGCGTACCGTGGCACGATACTTCTGCCATGGCGCGGCACTCCTATTTTCTGGAAATTTCTTGAAATTCATTTTTTTTTTCTTATTTAAACAACACACTTGATAAATTAGGCGTCGTTTCTATTATTTCAGACTCATTTTCAGGTTTAAAGTTTTGTGATTTTATTAATTGGCCTCAATTAAATAATTAATAATTAAAAAGGGTTTGGGCTAGAAATGATGTTTGGACGAGGTTTGAATAAATGTTTGGACTGAAATATGAACTGATTTATGAATTGTATTGGATTGAACATAAATTTTATGCACTCCTAAGATTGAATACTCAACCCGACCAATAATGGCGGTGAAAAGTTGTTCATCATCGGGTTTGTTTTAGGAAGACATTTTTAGGTGTCTACAGAAGCCCCCGTTTTTACTGTATTTGTAGAAACGTCAGTTTCGAAAACGATAGTTAAAGTAGTCGATAGGGACGGAGAATGATTTAAGACGTTCTGTGATTCTAAATCACTCGGTGTACGCCAATACCTATAGAAAAACGTTAGTTCCACAGATAAAAGTGTAAAGAGATAAAATGTGCATCTGACACCAGTACGTCGGTACCAAATACGTTTGGTAGCGTTCTACGCCTCAAGAAATCTATCGGATGTTGAATGACAGTTTTCCACGCCAGGAATCCTATCATGAACCACTGCGCCTTGAGCGATTCACTAAATGAAAAGGGATGACAAGTCTCCGTGCCTCGGGAAGCATGTCGTAGACTTCTACGCCTCGAGCAGTCTATTAAATGATGATCTTCCGCGCCTCGAAAATAATGATAATTGATAGTATTCCGCGCCTCAGGAATCTTATCGTGAACTCCTACGCGTCGAGTAGCTCACAAGTGAAATTCCACGCCTCGGGAATTACACTAAGAAAAATGTGTCAGCGCCTTGGGACACAATTGCAAACCTCTGCGCCTCGAGAAGTATGCAACAGTCGACCATTTTCCGCGGCTCAAGAAAACTTGTCCGATGATGAAAACTTAGTCTCTACGCCTCGATAAACTCGCAATGTGAACGTATGATAGTAATCATCTGCGCCTCGGGATGATCGCTAAGTCTTGCTCTGTAAGTTCGATTGTCCCCAAACAGAGGCTGTAAATATGAACGTTGATTGTCCCCGAACAGAGGCTATAGATATGATTTGTTCGATTGTCTCCGAATAGAGACTGGAAATATGATTTGTTCGAGTGTCCCCGAACAGAGGTTGTAGTCATTGAAAATATTTTGCCGATGCTGAAACCTTCAAATTGAATATATTCGACTGTATAGGTGCCTTAAAACGATGAAGATATGGTGTTGACATTTGCTAAGGGCCAAATGGTAATTTTTGATGCCATTAAAATATTAGTTGGAATTTCCCGCGAGTTTTCGGTGAAGAAAATAACTGACAAATTCTACGAAAATTATTCAAACTTGTCAAAAAGCTTACAGAATATTCATTGCGCATATTCCTGAGAATTAGAGCACACGCAAGGGTACCACGCCACGAGACTTGGTGTCGTGGCACGGTACCCGTTGTCGTGTCACGGTATTCACATCTTTTGTTTTAAATTCGAGGGAAGCCCGACTTTCACCTCACTTCATTTCTTTTTGCTGCTCTCCTTATTCGCCACTATTGCTGCCATTTTTGCTCGGATCTTGCTCACATCTACATCAAATCACCCCATTTTCTTCACATTTTCGCATCAATACATAATCAATGCAAGTTTTCTTGCCTTTTTCTGATTTTTAAATGATGGTGTTTTTTGTGCGAAAAACCCTACACAAATTAAATTGGGGTTTTTTTTTTTATTTTGATGATTTTTGTTGAAATTCTTGTGTATGAATTTGCTTGTATATTGCTTTGTGAGCAAATTGAGACCAAGTTTGCTTGATTTGGTATAGAAAGGAATAAATCCCAATGTATTGGTACTACTTGTGCGTGAACACCATTGATGTTGTTCTTCATGTTTCTCTTGTTGTTTTGCACTTGAAATGGTAATGTAACTGTTGTAGATCATGTAGAAAATACTTTGATATGTAGAAAACGATGCCATGGCACGGCAGGTACTGTGCCACGGTACTCAGTATCGTGGTGTGATATTTCTACCTTAGCGAGGCACTCAGTTTTCTGGAAACTTCTTTAAAATTCATTTTTATCTTATTTAAACAAAACACGTGATAAATTAGGAGCCGTTTCTATTATCCTGGACTAATTTTCAAGTTCAGAGTTTTGTGATTTTATTAATTGGGTTAATGAAATGGATTAAAAATGGTTTGGGCTAGAAATGATGTTTGGACAAGGTTTAAATAAATGTTTAGAATGAAATATGAACTAATTTTTGAACTGTACTAGGTTAAGTACCGTGCCATGCACGGTTATAATTAAATTTTACAACAATAAATTGTAAATAATGGTGTTAATTCAACAATAATTTATCTAAAAAAAATTATATGTAACAAAATAACTTTGATTTTTGTTTATACCAATACCAAATACGTAGAGGTTATTGAATTGGATTGTATAAAAAAACATAATAATAGAAATTTATAAGCTATAAGGTTTTATATAAGAAAATTAAAATACTAGCTTAAG